CAATAACTCTTGCTGCTATTGAGAGGCTGAGCGTGTCTCCATGATCCAATGATTGACATAATAACCTCCAGATTACTTTTAAACATTTATTGAGTACTAAAGGATATTGGAGAGGGCGTGAGATTATAATGTTATGCTTTAAGCAGTCATCTGCGAGCCAAGCAGAGCATAACTTCAAATAAAAATAAGTGAATCGCAACTTTATGGCCCTCTGAGCTGAGTTCTTGTTAGCTGGCGTGTCAGCAGACTGTGACTCCTTTAATCAATGCAAGCCTGTCAAACTGTGATTAAAAACAGTCAATAGTGTCTCATAGGTGAAAGAGGCAGTTTTATAATTTTGCAGGTATTAAGTCATCAACCAAATATTACACTAATTACAATTTGACCTGGGGTGCAAGATTACAGTTCAGGGAATCTCAAAAGTCAATATAGGATAAATCTTTTAACAAACATGTCTGCACAAAGGTTGCATGTCAATCCATCCATTAGGTGTTGAGTCCAACAGGTGTAACTATTCTGTATTATATTCATTATATTTACATCACAAACAGAGGATATATCCACTGTATAGAGGTCCAAGGGATGACATTTTGTGGCAGGAAAACTGTACTTCGATCCATGTTTTGATGACTAGTTTGTCAATGTTATTTTTCTCAGAAAGCTTCACATTTCAGTGTCATCCCAGCTGACTGCAATCTGCAAGAGAGACACAAACGTAGGCACACTGACAGGGAAAAGAAAGTGTCAGTCAGGAGAATTATTTAAAATAAACAAATGACTTCATGGAATTAGCTTTAATTCCTCAGTTACAGCAGCGAGGTGAAAATAAACGAGCTACGGGTGCCGTTGATGTAATGTTTTCTGTCTGTCCAGCTGATGCATTTTTCTAACATGCAGAAGTTAATTTCTGCCTTCCTGTGTCCAGCAGCTGCTGGATAATCCCCTTGAGCTTGCGTCCTATTAAGCTTTTAAAAGCCGGTATAAACTGTCCATTTTGTAATAGCCATGTCACATCAAGGGTACAAATCTACATCGAGTACTGCCTTTCATCGGCCGTCAGGTCATGGCAGCATCATTACAAACATTTTCAGATCTATTAATTCTGCAGTGATGTTCTTGTTTTGAGCTGATCACTTCGTATCAATGGGTCATGGCTGTCTATCCTGAGGATTAAACAGGGATGTAGAAAAAGGTCATCTATCAGTAAAGAAATCGTTTAAATCTACTGAACATTAAAATCTGATATGTATGTGCAAATATGTTCTGTGTAAGACACATTTGTTTCTGTAATTCAACTATCATTTTGTATATTTCATTTACCTTGGGCAGCCAACAACTATTTGATGGATCCATTTGCATGACCTTCTGTACAGACTTACGTGTACTCGTTAACAGATTGTTGTTTTAATATATATATACGTAAATGATTACCTGCCTTAGGTTTACACAGTTAGAAATGACCAACTGGGCCAGTTAAGGCCAACAATAATTGCTTACAATCTAAACCAGTGTATGTAATTGCATTAAGACTTTAATTAAAAAAATCTGAATATGAGGAATAATATCAAGAAGGAAGTTAAATAAAATATGTACAAAAACATAAAGAAAATACAATAAAAAATAGTACAAATTGCTGTTGAATGAACAATACATCTGAAATAAACGTGGACGATCCTGCAGTTTTAAGCTACTTTCTAGGCTTTTGTCATTTCAGAATTTTGAAGAGCAAATAAGCTAACAAACCCAGCCATCCTGTATAAGTTACATATGAAGGTTAATACAATTTTGTATTTTAGAGGTAGTTTAGAAATGAGTTTCAGTGCAGCATATAAAGCATTAGAAAAAAGAGCTGATCCTGGGGCAGCTTTTTGTGTGGACACAATGAACATGGGGCTAAATGGGATGGTTTGTTCTGAGTTGACCCGCACATTCAGGACAAAGTCCACACACTACGTCTCGTTCTCAGCACTGCGGCAGCCCGTCACCTCAAATAAACTCACAGGTTCCCTGGTGCTTTATTGAGCTTCTTCACCTGCAGGGCTTCATGATTATATTTTACATTTAAGTCTGTAGTTTTCGTTTCTGTGGCAATGTTTGGGTGGCATGACCTTTTTGTGGATACCCTTAGATAACAAAAGCTTTTACAACTGAATAGATGACCTTGCTGTTCACAAACCAACATAAGCCCCTTAGTTATCTCCAGTAACAAGAGTGTATCTGTGTAGGTCACTTTTGACAATCTTTTATCTATGGGTCAATGGTTTTTCCTTGTTGTGTAATCTAAGGGTATGTGTTGTCTGTGCTTTGATACCGTCAGATGTGCCGTATCATCAGGCCCACAAAGACTGCAGGTTTTCTAAGGTGCCACAGACAGAGGAAAAGTGCTTCATTTGGGTTGTTTTGTCACCTCAGGCCAAATTACATTTTATAGCCACTTATAAGCTCAAACTAGAAGCAAAAATCCTCAGACAGAGCACTTCTGCTTGTAACAGCCAACAATGAAGACAAAAAGTATGTTCTTCCTCTTGTATTGCAGCCCCCCAGGTAGCTCTACCAGACTAAAAGACTTGGTTATTTAAAAAAAACATATTTTTCCAGATGACCACAATGATTTGCAGTCTGAATTTGCATCCTGTGCAGTTTCCCCCTTGTGCTGCAGCAAATTGCTTCAGAAAATAATACAATTTTAAAGAAATAAGATTAAATATCTAGAATATAAAAACACATTTAATGATTTCAGAGAATGTCCGTCTTTCCTATGTAGGATAACCATTCTAGCAGCAAAAGACAGACATTTGAGATGCAGATTTGTTGCGTGACATGAATATATTTTTAGCAGTCCTTGCGAGTCAAAAGGAGCAAAACAGAGGTGAGATCCAGACTGTGAACGGTTTGGTTCAGCTAATCTGCCTTATCTGCTGTGGATAACGTGTGAATAAACTCTGTGAAATATATAAATCAAGCAGCAACATTTAGGAAGCAATTCAAACTGAACCTCATATTTGAAAAGGTTATATCTTTTTTTGTAATGACAACTGCAAAATGTTGTCAGACAGAAGGGTGTCGCCCTGACCATTGTCAGATAATTATCATATGGATATTAGGGCTTGTAATTAACATGCTGCGCTTCCCCTTCTGTCTGCCCCCCAACCCAATTTAGGACTGTAATGTGGATTGCCTTCCTTCCTGTGTCTCATCTGTATAAATGACATTGCTTTTCGTAACGGGGTCAGATCCTGGTACCATCTACTTGTGCAGGACCTCTGTCCTTTCCAGCTGGAAATATGATTGATTCTGTTAAATGCTAGAACTCTTTAATAAATAACACAACTTTGGTTTAAGCTTATATATTTGTTATTTTCTTACCAGAAGGTGATTAAGTGTGGAATTTCCACCACAATAACTTCATAGCATCTCCCCTTTTAATACATGATATACATTTGATTGACCTTTTAGCCAAACACATGCACAACTGAACAACACGACAGCAGGAATATGAAGAACATGTACTTTACCCCTTATGTAACAACGCAGACAATACTTATACATCGACTGATTATGACCTCATCACAAACACAATCTCACAAAGGCATTTAGTGAAACATGATTTTGAAAGCTGATTTCACTCAAAGCAAAGAACTGAAATGAGCTTCCAATGCAGATTTAAAAAAGATGGCGGATTAAAGAATACTCAGGTGGTTTGTAGCTGAGACTCTAGAGTAGAAGTAGAGGTCATCATTATTATCACCACAGAGGTCACACTAGTCCGTAAAACATTTCAAAGGACGTTACATGTAACTAATGAGAGAGTCTGTTTATATTTATTTAAATGTGTTGTGTTCAGGTATTGATAGAGAGCTGAAAAAAGCTCTAATCCTTCATGCAGCAACAAAAAAATGAAATATTGAAACGCTGGCTAATCCAATTTGACAGGCAGCACATCTTTAGGACAGCAGTCCATCGTTCAAAGGATTATGTGCTGCGTGAGAGCAGTTTGGCTGGCATTAGACTCTCCCTTTGCTTTAAAGATTAGTTTATAATACTGCTGCAGCTTGGGAATAGAAAGAGATGACTTGATTGTGTGGCGTTCACCAACCAGGAGCTGCAGGATGTTCCCCTCGTGTGTCTCTTTTCACAACGCACACAGGCTTTTAAAAGCCGTCTGGATCCTAAAACCTTTGTGGGACATGCATTTGTTTATTGTTGTTCAGGAGGTACAGGATTCTTGTAAATTACAGTTTTTAGACTCACTACTTCAGAGGTAGATAAAGAGGAAGGAGGCTAAGAGATGTCATATATTGTGAGGTCATAAGGGTGAGAAAACTATGATGACTTGGATTAAGGAGGAAGGGTTCACTGCACCTAATCCTATAAAAAGAGGGAAACGTAAAAACTGATATGGCAGCCTTAAAAAGGACCTAAATTAGGGGCAATCATTTCCCTTTAGAAGGGGGAAGCAGGGTATCCATGTCAGCATCTATGACCAACCTGTTGATGGGGATGAGGGGGCCACTCCCTCAATTAAACAAGCAAGTCCTTGTCAAATGCAGCGGAAAAATCAGAAATTACATAGACAACAAGTGTGCTGTTGAAGAATAAGATGAAGAATATATGGTAAGGAACTGGGGGTGGGGGTGGGGCGAGGACGCTGGGAATTAAGGAAATAGCAACTTTTACCACTCCAATCCCAGTGTCTAAATGTAAAGTAACGACTTTTCACAGCAATTCAAACATTGAGTAATCTTAGCTTTACTATGTTTTCATCTTTTCTGATTTTCTCATTTTTAGCAGCGCTATTTGGTTTGGATGTGTTTAGACATGTTTTTGTAAGTCCCTTAGTTCCAGCATGAAACAGCTGTGAGTGGTGACGACTCAGCTCTAACTATGCTGGCTGGTGTTTCTGTGTTTCAGTTGATGGACTTCCCAAAGAAAGCAGTCCTTTCATCAACAGCAGCGCAGCCGGCAGTGTGGATAAGAGCCAGCAGTATGACGGCAAGACTATGGCTCTGTTCGAGGTGGGGATAGTTTTCACAGCTAAATTCAAAACATATTTTCACATTGTCACGACTAATATGACCGTGTTTCTCTGTGTGTGTGTGTGGGTGGGGGTGTGTGTGTGTGTGTGTGTGTGTGTGTGTGTGTGTGTTGCAGGAGGAAATGGATACCAGTCCAATGGTCTCCTCTCTGCTCAGCAGTCTTGCCAACTACTCAAACCTGCCAACGGGCAGCAAAGAGCACGAAGAGGCCGAGAATAACGAGGAGGGGGCTCGTCCGTCTAAAAAACCTGTCAAGGTAGAGGACTCAATCCCATTTCAAAGGGAACCATATTTTCTCCCAGATGACGTTACATGACATAAAACTCATGTTCGTTTGTCAGTGCTTTAGGAGACTGGGATGACATTTCAAAGAATAATCAAATAGACTGCAATAGTCCATAGTAAAGTGATCTTTGTAATGATCCTGGACAAAGTTAGTCCGATTTCTAACTCAATCAAAGAAGGGCAACTGTATCTGTTGTAGGACAGTATGGTTTGATCAGCAGGGAATACAAACAATAACATGAAATTATAAATCTTGACTTGAAGGCATATTCAGGTGTGTGACATTTTGTAGTCTTTTAAAAGTACTTTGTTGTTTAAATAGACAGGGACACAAACGTATAGGTGCATACGTATTCATCATAGTGTATTAAAACATGAATTATATTTGCATAAACTAATTGTAATGTAAATGATAAGTAGACCTAAGACAAGAAGACAGGAAGGGATGTGTCTTCCTCCTTTCCAACAGATTAGTCTCTCTTTGTGTTTGAGAAGAATAAACCCCTTTCTTTACTTTTGCACTTTTGCTTTTGCACTCGTTTGAGAAATGAAGTCTGCAAGGAAAGACGGACAAAGGTGCTTAGGTTAAGCACATTATGAAGAGGCTCCTGAGACACCGGAAGAGTCCTTCAGAGCCGGCTGTCAAGAGCAACTCAAGCTCTCCCTCAACGGCGTTTCCCCTGTGGACGACAAAACAAGCAGTGCCTTTGATCTGTCAGCTCCGTATCACACGCACAGAGCTCTCTGCAGAATCTGAAACACTCAAAAACACTTCAGATGTGGTCTATTCTGTACACTCTAACTTTATTGATATCGTTAACAATTGTTTGCACGGATACAGTTGAGACATTTATAATTTAAGGGTAAAAGACATAGTAATATAACACAAAATGCAGGCAGCTGCTTTTGTTAACATTTGGCCCAATGGACCAACCTTACGAATGTGAGAATTGTGACTCTCATGTGTGTAGATTTGTAATGTACACTAAATGGAAGGAAGTAGAGATGTTACTTTAAGGATGTTACTTGTCCTCCTCTTCTTCTTTTCACAAGATGTTCATCTTTCTGTGTTTGAGAAGAATAAACCTCTTATATATATTAAAAGATTGCTTCAACAATCATGATATTAAGGAACATTAGTTAAGGAGACTGGACACAAAAGTGCATTTACTCTCAGATTAAACCCCCATTTAAATGAATTTTCATGGAAAGTAAATTGAGCTAGACTGAAAACAATAACAGAGCAACTTTTTGCTGATCACTTTCACGTTTGTGTTTCTCAGGCTCCACAGCTGGGTACTCTGATAGGTGTGTACTTGCCGTGTATCCAGAACATTTTCGGGGTGATCCTCTTCCTGCGGATGACCTGGATGGTCGGGGTTGGAGGCGTCTTTGGCTCCTTTATAATTGTCTTCATGTGTTGCTCCACAGTGAGTGTTGTAACATGATCTCTTCTCAGAAAACTGTTGTAAAATAAAAATAAGTCAGTAGAATAGATCTGTAAACAACATATTATATAAATCCAAAGTGGTTCTTAGGCACACACATACACCATTTGGGTAGCATGTGATTACACTTCAGGCTGTTACAATACAAAAAAAGCTGTAAAATTCAAAATGGCATTGCACAGATACTGAAGGTGACATCCTGGCATGAGCCAATAAACACACTGACACCCCACCAGCATTCCTCTGTTGGATTCTGTTATTCGATGCTACGCCAACAACCAACTAGCCAGGAGCTAACCCAAGGCATGCCATATAACTGATAAACAAAATCCAGAAATGTAGCTCAAAACACAAAGTAGAAATGTTGGAATAGGCTAAATGCAATCTAATATGTAATGATATCTTGTGAGATGTTTACAGGGCAATATTTGGAGGGTTCTGGTGTAGCGAGAGGAAAGACTTCCTTTTTTGGTGCATGGAGTTGGAGTTCAGGGACAACATCTACATTTGGATTGCTTCAAAATTAGCTAATTGAAGCTAATAAAAGCTCAATTGTGTCAGACAATAACCAATGGTTTACAGATTGCATTTCTTTCAATGTGTTTAAGCATCTTTTGCAATTCAAAATGTTTACCTGCAATTAACCAAAGCCTTTTCAAATGTTGTTGGTCAATAATACTCTTCATCAATATACCTTACAATGTAGTTCTCCCTTTGATGAACAATTCAACACGACCTGATAACTCTTGTGCTGTTGGTTGTTTGATCAAGGCCTTGTTGCCACATTAAATCTGAGGTGCCCACCTCTCAGTCCCCCAACCCTCCTCTGTTGTGTTCTGCTTCATCCAGACAATGCTCACAGCCATCTCCATGAGTGCCATCGCAACAAATGGAGTCGTACCAGGTGAGTGGATATCTAAGAGTATTATTTGCGTGTGACAGATCAGTGCTCTGACCCTTCTGTGTGTTTGTGTCTTGCAGCTGGAGGTTCGTATTACATGATCTCTCGCTCTTTGGGGCCAGAGTTTGGTGGAGCTGTCGGGATCTGCTTCTACTTAGGCACCACTTTTGCTGGTGCCATGTACATTCTTGGCTGTATTGAAATTCTGCTGGTAAGTGGCTTTGATTATCAAATAATAAAATGCTTATTGTTTTTAAAGGTTTTTCAAGTAAAGTATTTTTTGCATCAAGCATTTTGGCATGTCATGAAAGGAAAAGCACAGACTTATCATTTATTAGTCCTGTTATTGTATCTGCAGCTGGCTCACTGGTATGACTTCAGGGATATTTCATTAAATGACTCGATAATCATATATTACAAGCAACACTGGAATGGTTAGAAAACAAGTTTGATGTTTTCATTATCATAACACAGCATACCATTGTAAGGAGAACATGTCGTAATGAAAACAATCTGCTTATTATTATTATTATCAGTCAATTTATCATTCTGTTTAAAAAAGATCAGAAAATGTCTTTTGTAAAACGCAAGTTAATATATTATTAGTTGGTCCTTCTTACTAACTGTTCAAACCCCCCAAATATTGAATTCATTATATGAGAAACAAAATAACAAACAGTCATATTTGTGAAGATGGGACCAGGTAAATCTTTACATTTAAAAAATAAATAAAATGATATCAATATCAAAGTATTTGCCAGTTAATATTCTGTCGATCAACTAATCAAATATGTCCACTCTATTATAATAAGCAAACTTTCTGATTTGACAACATATACATATATATTGTGATTAAATTGCGGCTTGTTTAGTTGTATTTCTCATTGTAAAAGCTTTGAATTGATGAGTAGATCCAATGTAAAGCACTCCAAGTTTAGGCAGCATTCTATCATAGATGTACCTTGGTTAATTATCGACCCTCTGCCTCTGCTTTTCTCCCTCCATGTTTCCATTCTTTCAGATTTACATCGTTCCTCAGGCAGCCATCTTTAAGATTGAGGGCCTGGAGGGGCCTGAGGCCGAGGAGGCTCTCCTCAACAACATGCGGGTGTACGGCACCATCGTGCTGAGCTTAATGTCACTGTTAGTGTTTGTGGGGGTCAAATATGTGAACAAGCTGGCCCTCGTCTTCCTGGCTTGTGTCATCCTCTCCATCGTGGCTGTTTATGCCGGAGTCATCAAGACAGCTATTGACCCCCCCGTCTTCCCGTAAGTAACTCGTTTGTTCACTGGTCTAAGTCCATGCCGCTGATCTGAGTTTATGACAATGACGTGCCGACTTGCTTTACAGCGTCTGCCTCCTGGGAAATCGAACTCTCATGTCTAAAGGATATGACATCTGTGCCAAAGTCATGGATATAGACAATGAAACTGTCACCACCAAACTGTGGAGAACCTTCTGTGATTCTGACAGCCTCAATGCCACTTGTGACGAATACTTTAACAACAACAACGTGACAGAGATACAGGGCATCCCAGGGGTCACCAGTGGCATCCTGGCAGGTAAGAGATGAGCTTTGTGAAGTGCTGTCATCTATTTAATAATATTTCTGTTTCTCCTTGGCCTATTTGTATAGTTTTATGTCTTATAAATATTCATGTTCAATTGTTGGAGGCCTGGTACTTAAGATTGTTATTGCCAAAACTACACTGTAGCTTTTGTGCGTGTGACAATAAAGCCTTTTAATCTTGGATCTTTGAACCTTGAGATGTTCAAATCACACCCTCTCTTAATCGTCAGAATGAGGGTAAATCCACCTCACTTTCTCATTGAAATGCTCCTCTGTCTTTAAGAAAACCTGTTTGGTAACTACCTGGAAAAAGGGATGTTCCTGGAGAAGCGAGGGATTGCATCCGAAGCCGATCCAGACAGTCCTCCACCTGGCTCCAACCGTTACGTCCTGGCTGACATTACCAGCTTCTTCACCCTGCTGGTCGGGATATACTTCCCATCTGTCACAGGTTAGCAGCAGCAGACAGGCCCAAAAGGACTCTCCGTATCAAATCTACATTTAAAGCTGCTCTTATCAATATTTGTATATAATAATGGGCTAAAATGTAACATGATATAAGAAAGAATTACCAATGTCTCTGCAGTTCAACTTGTGGTTTTGTTTTTGGCAGCCTGAAACTTTTTTGTTTTGGATCCAATTTAATCTGTAATGTTTCAAGAAGTGACAGGGAGGTTTGTTCAAGAAACCTCTAAAAAGAGCTCTAAAAAAACCGAATTGTATGCTACCTGCACAGCATCATGCAGCAGGCAGACAATGTAAGCAAATTGCTGATGGACGTAGTCGAGCATATTGCATCCTAAAATACATACATCAGAGTGACGTAAAAAGAAGCTTACCATGCATGCAGGTGCAAAACCTCCTGATTATTAATTTTGCTCCACTCACAGGTATCATGGCGGGCTCCAACCGCTCCGGAGACCTGCGTGATGCTCAAAAGTCCATCCCCATTGGCACGATTGCAGCGATCACCACCACCTCTATTGTGTGTATCCTTCACTGAGCAAAAAAAAGAGAAAACTGTGAGGAGCTAATTGATGTGTTCTATTTAACGATCTGCATGTTATCATAATATTTTTGATTGAAAAGGTTTCAAAATACACTTCTTAACAGCTTTTTCCCAGACATGTCCACTGTGATCCTGTTTGGTGCCTGTATAGAAGGAGTAGTCCTAAGGGACAAGTGAGTATAACTATGTTGATTTGTGTAAATGTATCAAATTGTTATGTTTTGTTTCAATGTGTATCTTTGGTATAGAGAGCTGAACCAGTCAATGTTGATGAAGGTTTAAATTGATGCTGTTTAATATGTTGCTCTGGATGACTCAATGTACTGCCTTACTTATTACAAAACTGGTTTGGGCTTTAGGAACATCTGGACCTAAAATATTTTTTCTTTTCGGTAATTGTCTGGAACATCTGGTAAGAATAGTCCCGGAAAAATAATATGTATTGCTCTGACAGGAGGGGAGGGAAGGAAACAGGTGCGACATCAACAGACTGGAGACCAGGGAGGAAGAGAGAACCAGTAGTGATGAGAGAAGGGAGACAGATGTTGTAAGGCGGCTCGTCTTAAGAGAATGATGTAGTGAAATAAAGAAGGAGAGTGTGAGGAGAATAACTAAGGCAGGATGAATGAATGCAGTTATATTCCCTGGACAACCTCATGTTACCTCTGAGAATTCAAAGGTACATAATGAAATCAATGCCTTCACGTGAAATAATACATTAAGGAATGATTGAATGTCAGAGGGGACATACCAAAGAGTGTTTTGACAGCCAATCAGTTGGGCATGTGGCTAAGGTATGCTTAATCGGTGTTGTGGGGATTGATGAATAGGGTAAGTGTGGAGAGGGAATTTGTAAACGTGGAGGTCATCAGAATGGTGCCCTTTTGGGGCTTTGAAGTGTTGACATGAGAGGTGGAAGGGTAGCAGATATAAATGAAGGAAACATTTATCTTGTGCAACTTATAGGGTTGAGAAGGAAAAACAAGATGAATGGAAGAGAATCTGACAAAGAGCGATATGCTGCAGAGGAACAAAGAAAGTATGGAAGGAAAAAACGAAACTGGTATAATTTATAGTGGAGTGATAAAGGCCACATCTGACAGAAAGTCTAACACTGAGATGATCCAGGTTGTTCTGGTTAAAGCAGCAGTGCAACACTTGGATATAAAACTGTTGAGATGGGAGTAGAAAGGGATGAGATCAACTTACAGTCAAGAATCAGCATGTGCTGGGTGATATAAGAGGGGGAAAAATACATAATATAATATAACATATAATAATATTCAAAATTACTGGGTTAAACTCGATTTTGTGTTATATGAGTAATAAAAAAAAAGTAAGAAAATATGCTGGAGTGTGTCCGGTTTGTAAAACAGGGGACTCACTATGGTACTAGGTGTAAGGAGTGATTATATGAAGTACTAGAAGTGTGGAATTAGTGGAAGACGTTTTTCATAATCTACTACACTCCATCTAAAAAGTTGGATATAAACATTCTTGAGGAAATAGAGGAGCAAAAACTAAATTAACTTGTGGTTTCAGGATTTTACTGCAAGTTACACACTATGGGGGGGTCGAGAGAAAAAATGATGGGATAGATGTCAGCATCAAAAAGACATCTTTATCTCACGCTAGTTTCCAACCATATGGTACCAATGTGTGATCGGAATGTGTATCAACAAGGAACTATAGGGAACTAACATTACCCAGTGTTACGTTAAGTCAACATTTGTGCATTGTTAACCACAGAAAGGCAGGGAAGGGATACATGAGAAGGCTGATTGGGAGACATTTCAGATAGAAAGTAATAGATACCCGAGTCAGAGTGATTGTAATATGGACATAGAAACATTTTGAAAGAAGATTTAATAAGTTAAGGGGCTAAAGTCAGCTGCATGAGAGTCTTTAAAGACAAAGTAAATAGCAAAGCAGGTTCATGGTGGGATGTGAAATGAAATTCAGCCGTGAGAAACCATTTAAACGAGTCAAAATAACACAGAATATCCATCAAAAGATAAAGGACAATATTTTTTAAAACTTATAACCAAATCTCTGTTTATTTATTTAAAGTGGTGCTTATGCATAAACCTTAGGTCAGTTTAACAGATATGTCGATTAAATCAGAATCATTTAGATGTCAAAATTGTTTCATTGTTAGTTGACAGTACAGTACAAACAGGCTCAGTAGGAATAGGCCGAGCAACATTTATTAGAGAAAGTGCTGCGACTCAATCAGGAACAACACATGGGAGGATGATTAAAAAGAGAGCTGGGGACAGCAGGGAGTGGAGTCATCCTGTTTTATTGGAAATTATTTTCCTGTAAACAATAAGAAACATATTGAGATAATACTTTCATTACAGTTGACACAAGAAATAGACGAGGGAAAACTGAATCTGAACGCTGAGCCACTGAGCAGAAAGGAGAGCACTGAGGATCAATAAAGTTTAATTTTCTGTAACTTGGAAACAAATAACAATCTACAATGTGTTGAAACATTTCTTAAGGATTATATTTTGATGTTATTTTTTGCTTTTATTTGAAAATGGTGGGGAATCAAACCCGACATGGTTTTGTTATGCAGGAAGTGTTGTAACCAGTCTGCTACGAAGGCAGACCCTGAGGACACATTTAAATATAGGGACCTAATAACTTGTTGATGTTATTTAATAAGGAAGGATCCTTCAGAGCTTTAGCGATAATTATTCCAAGAAGGAAACCTGGGAAGAATGCCAGTCTGCCAGCGAGCCATGCCTTGTTATCACATGTCTGTAAAAGGATGGAAGAACATGGTCAATGAGAGGCTAATGTTTCTCTGCATACCAATGCAGTGTAAAGTACTCGTTATGATATAACAAATGGATTATTAATAAATGTTTAGGATATATATTTGTTATATAACTTTAGGTTTTAAGACAATTATTAAGGATGAATACTGGGGCACCCCTTGCAGCTAAACAAGAAACACAATAGCACCAAAGTAGAGAGATCACTTTAAATCACACAAAAGCACATAAACCAGTTCTTTATAAATGAAGAATGTATTAACTATTAATCTACTACTCTCAACTAATAATTAAACACCCGATAATTAAAATGAAATGAAAAAGGAAAAAAAAACAATGAATCGCAAGCAATACAGAAGGAGGTGGGCGATGAAGTTAACTTTAAGGTCAAGAGATCAAACAGCATTGAACCATCCTTTTTGTAGTGCATAACGTGGGACGCCCTCACTGTTAGGTGGGCTCCTGCCTCCACAGCCGCACCTTCCCCTCTATCAACTTTATCCCGAATAAACTTTCATTACTAGCTAATACAAAAAAATCCCAATAGCACCACTATCTAACTTTCCTCATCCTTGACACGTTTTTCAACTGTCAAGAATACACCAAACATGTTAAGGGAATTTATTATAGGACAAGTAGTCTCTATTGAGTTATTTCACATTCCAAGGGCAGCCCTTCAGATCAGTCAGAGGGGCTTGAAACCTTGTATACATAATGACATTTCCTCCACCACTGATCTAATTTACCAAGAGTTTGGGTGTTTTCTCCTGGTTAAACTTTTATCAAGCAGTTTATGATTAGCATAGATCATTGGCTTCTGGCTTTCAGTTTTAAACACAACGTGTTCCCCTGTTGAAGCTGTGTCTTTTTATGATCCTCTGTTGTGAACAAAGTCTGTGAGAAAGTTCTACTGACAGAGCTGTGAGATCAAATGCAGTGTTAAGTGTTCAGAGATTTAGGTGAAGGTAAGTCCTCTCTCTCTTCTGTACCTTTCACACTCTACCACCAGCTAACCTTTTAACCGGAGATTTATGGCATCCTGTTCCAGATGTATTTAGGCAGTTCACTGTTGTGTCAAGGCGGAAGTTCCCCCCACTTCTTCCACACCACGCTAAAGTAGATTTAAGAGAGGAAAGGGCACTATGGATCCAGTGTTGTTTTGGGAGGAAAGAGCACAAGACATGTTCTGAAGAAAGGGGGAGATTATCCAAATATGCCTATTATTTGTGGAAACATTTTTGAATGGGTAACAGGCCTTCTAAGCAGAAGATGCATCAAGATTTTGTAGAGACCGGAAAATCTCAGAGGGGGTGTAAAAGCCACAGTGTGCAGGATTTAGTGGCCTGCAGTCATACCCCTTCACTACCCTGTCTTTTCAACCCTGTAGAAAAAACAACAACAACAATTTCAGGAACAATGAATTACCCTAAAATGCTACGCACTGCTTCTTTTAGTTCCACTTTATCCTCTGTGTAAATAAATGATATATTCTTAACATACTAATGGACATGGGAATATCACTATTTGCAGATGACAGCCCTGGAATAGAGGTAAACTTTGTTAAATATAGTTGAGCAAATACATGATGCAATTCATCAATTTGAAATGTGGGCGAAGAAATGGGGCTATAACAGTTCAGTGGAGAAGAAAAAAGTTATGCTTTTCACAAGAAAAAATACAGGATGGATACATTTAAAAAAAGTGATACATGTGATGATGTCTAGCAGAAGTGAAATGGGGGGCTTGTGCTTTACGTAAATACAGTATACATGTAGCTCTAATCAGATAATCTAATCCCTAAACTAGGGAGTGTGTCAATGGATTACTAGCAAACATGTTTGCAGGGCCAGACAGAATACAAGTGTGTGTTTAGCAGCAGTTAGAACATTGCAATAGTGTCCACTTCACACAGTTTTATTACAGGGCTCTTAGCAAACAGTCACATACTGTATCTGGTTATATATCAGTTCAAAAACAATACATGATTTGTTTTTCTAAATGTTTGTTATTTATGGCCTATTGTGTCTTCGCCTCTCTCCACAGGTTCGGTGAAGGGGTCAATGGTAACCTGGTGATTGGGACTCTGGCATGGCCGTCTCCCTGGGTCATTGTGTTTGGCTCCTTCTTTTCCACTTGCGGAGCGGGACTCCAGAGTCTGACTGGAGCTCCACGTCTCCTGCAGGCTATCTCTCGGGACGGCATCATTCCATTTCTTAGAGTGTGTAGTACACATGTAGCATTCAAATGCAATTTTTGACATCAAAAAATACATTTTGTTTTTCTGTAGCTTGGGTCTGCATAAAACATTTTTAATACATGGCATAGCACTATCTTTCTAATAAAGGGCTAATAAATCTGATCTGCAGGTGTTTGGGCACGGCAAGGCCAACGGGGAGCCCACCTGGGCCCTTCTGCTAACAACTAGCATCTGTGAGATCGGCATCCTCATCGCCTCCCTGGATGCAGTCGCGCCTATCCTCTCTATGTAAGTAGTGTACACACAAGCCCACACACACAACCAAACACTCACACACACTGTTTGTTTATTGCTGTGCACACCTGCTGTAGTAAGTATCTCTCATTTCACTCACTTGTCCGTCTAATATTTCTGTATATTTATGTTTCTCTCTCTCTCTCTCTTTTCTTCGCTCCTTTTTTTAAGGTTCTTCTTGATGTGCTACATGTTTGTCAACCTTGCCTGCGCCCTGCAGACTTTGCTAAGGACCCCAAACTGGAGGCCACGCTTTAAATTCTACCACTGGTGAGTTTGTGTGTCATGAATTATGTCAGAAAACCTTGCTCAAAACAGAACTGCACAGTAGCACCATTACATTTGCATTTCTGCAGTGGACATACATTCTAGCTGGAAACTCTCAGTAACAGCACGTTGTGAGATAAGGACATTATCCACTGCAGTCTTGCCATACTGAAGACCAGTCTGAGTCCAGAAGTGCCAAAGCTTTAAACATCTTTAAACATATTTTTACAAGTTGTGGTTATTACTGTGTTCAATGGTAGAATTGTCCCAATAGAGCAAACATGTGCTGTCCTGTCCCCTGCAGGGCTCTGTCTTTCTTGGGTATGAGCTTGTGCCTGTCGCTCATGTTCATCTGTTCCTGGTATTACGCCATGGTCGCCATGGGCATCGCCACCTGCATCTACAAATACATTGAGTTCTGCGGGTAAGAAATCATCAGTGGATTGCTATTATTTTCATTTTCCATGAATGCTACTATAGCACATATACACCATAATATCATGTGCCAACCTATGAATGTGCTGTGTCACAGAGCGGAGAAGGAGTGGGGTGATGGGATACGTGGCATCTCTCTCAGTGCTGCACGCTTCGCCCTCATGAGGCTGGAGGAAGGACCGCCACACACCAAGAACTGGAGGTCAGTCCACACATCTTCAGTGTTTAAACAGTTTCACTTTTATCACCTGTTGAAAAAGTCCTATGAAAAGTGTTCTTACATTTTCACAGTTCAGTTTTCTTACGAATCCCGTTTTGCTTTTAAATTAAAAGTGGAGGACAGTTAATCCTAATAAGCAGATCCATATAGTCCCTCCAAAAAAGGGCATGAGGCTATAGGGCCCTGTGCACACACTTAAATTGAGTAGGGAACATAAGATAATTACAAAGCCCAAACGGTAATCTAAAGAGGGTGGAGCACTGGACTCCAAATCTTCAATAGTTCTGTAGCCAAATGAGCTTCAAATGTAGTCTTATCATCATTATCCTTATGACGAGTAATTTACTTAATGCTTTGTTTTTTCAGGCCTCAGATGCTGGTTCTAGTGAGCGTGGATGCTGAGCAGAACGTAGAGCAGCCTCGTCTGCTCTCTCTGACCAATCAGCTAAAGGCAGGGAAGGGTCTGACTATTGTTGGCACCTCAGTTAAAGGAACCTTCCTCGACAACTTCACTGAGGCCCAGAGGGCAGATCAGGTGCGTCCTCTAGTATCTAACACATACACTTTGACCTGTGATAAAAAAAAACATTAATATCACTCAATTGCTTTCACTGACACCAACAGCTGTGTTCCCCTCTCTGTGTATTTGTAGTCGCTGCGTAAGTTGATGGAGATGGAGAAGGTGAAGGGTTTCTCTCAGGTGGTCATCTCCTCCAATCTGAGAGATGGGACGTCCCACCTGATTCAAGTTGGTGGACTGGGAGGTCTGAAGCACAACTCTGTGATGGTCAGCTGGCCCCGAAACTGGAAACAGCCAGAATGCCACGAGCAGTTCAGGAACTTTATTGGTAAGTCCTAATTCATTGGACCAATAATTGATATCTTAAAATGTGATCTTAATCCCATGCATATACACAATGTCTGTAATTTGTCAAGTAAAAATTACTCTGCAAATTAGCTACCAGATTTTGCAAAATACAGATGTCATGTGGTAAAATGAGTGGCGTCGTTATGATATAAAGACTTATTTTATTTATAATTGTTTCGCCAATCCAAAAATTATGGAGGCTTCGTTTGCAAATATAAATGAAATGATGGTGGACAACGACCTTATGGATGTTTTTTTTATTCATATGTAGATAATTCATTTTTGTTTTGTTTTCATGAACTTTACCCCTTTTCTGTCTAATGGAGTGACCAAAACAAGGGGAGGTAACCATTATTATTTGTCCCTCTGCAGAGGTGGTTAGAGAGACAACTGTAGCCAGTCTGGCCTTGTTGGTTCCTAAGAATATCGCCAGCTACCCGTCCAATGGAGAGCGCTTCACTGAAGGACACATAGATGTGTGGTGGATTGTCCATGACGGAGGCATGTTGATGCTCCTGCCCTTCCTGCTGAGACAGCATAAGGTGGGAAACTATGAAATACAATTAACCTCTTCTTTATAAGAAGGTTTATTATGATGAAAAAAAACGAAATCATTAACAGAAGTTACAAAGGAAGCAGTTACACTGATAACATTGTTCATCAGCTGTGGATGTTCCGGTTTTGTCCCATAGGTGTGGAGGAAGTGCAAGATGCGCATTTTCACTGTGGCTCAAATGGATGACAATAGTATTCAGATGAAGAAAGACCTCATCACCTTCCTCTATCACCTGCGCATTGATGCTGTGGTGGAAGTGGTGGAGATGGTGAGAGACTTGTCTGAAACATTATCTCAGTTCACACATTAACATATAATTATCAAACTAATTATCAAACTAACTTTCACAAAAACTGTATGATAAATGTGTTTTCTGCCTCAAAGCATGACGGTGACATCTCGGCCTACACCTATGAGAAGACATTGGTAATGGAACAACGATCACAGATCCTCAAACAGATGCATTTGACCAAGAATGAGAAGGAGAGAGAGGTAAATCAGAAGTTTGTTCTCTACACAATTGGAAACAACCATTAATACAATTATTATGTCATGTATTAATATCAACTTTATCAAATGGAGTATACCTGAAGTTGTATTCAGCATAGGACCCCGAAGAACATGAAATCCATGTTCACACATTCGTTATCACTCTGTGGGCTCCAAGTTTCAGAGGAAGGAACATCACTTATGATAAGGTGTTGGTGGACTTGTTTTCACTGACATGAGGGAAGAGAGTATTAATTCCAGAGGAATATTCCAATTTGAAACATGTCCATTTTCTTAATTTGTTTGATAACTAAAGATCCAGAGCATTACGGATATATCCCGTGGGTCCATTCGACGTAAAAACCCATCGGCCTTGCGCTCGCAGCACAGCGCTGATGAAGGAGCCAGCGTTGCAGAACAAACAGAAGACCAGGTAATGGCACTCTTAGCATATATAACTTATTTACAGTACCTGTGTCCTCCTCGTTCTCTGCACAACTTTCTGTGCTCCGGCTTGGGCAGACTCTATTGTTTATTCTATGATTTCCCTACGGCCACTTGCTTTCTCCTACACTCACAGGTGTCTCCTCTCTCTCTTTCACTTTCACGTCACTGTGTTCGTCTCTCAGTCTGTGGCTGTCTCCAACCCAAAACAGGTGCAGCTGATCCACAGTAAGAACCCCTCCACACCAGCCAGCCCCACAAGCCCCACAAGCCCCACAAGCCCCACGTCTCCCGCTGTGCCTGCAGGGGGCGCCACAACCTGGACGGACTACAAGGGGGCAGAGAAGGGGAAGAGCCCTTCAGAAGGGAACCCAGAGGCGGGCAGAGACCCCTTCAACATGAAGCCGTGAGTGACCCCTCATTTTCACTCCTTTGAGTTGATAGATAGTAAATGTATCAAACGTTTCAAACCTATTGAGTTTTGATACTTATTCAATAATATGCCGTCAGTTTCTATGTGACACTCTGTAATAGAACATGCACAATCTACCAATGGTGCTAACCGCCCTATGCATTACCAGTCATCATGCATATGTTTGGACATGAGCAACTGCACCTGTAGCAGACTCTAGAAAGATTTTACACATCACTATTTCACTCAGCTTTCAGCAGAGAAAGCGGATATGACACGACATCAACACACAGAGAAGTAAATATTTGTGTATATTGACCCATGTTCCAAGTTTAAAGGAGATACATTGTGTTTCTGTGCACGTGACAAACATAAACAACTTAAACCACTATCAAATGTAGCTTCCTGTGCAAATGTGTAAATTCACTGTAAATATGTTCCTCCTTACATGCTGCTGCAGAGAATGGGAGAACTTGTAAGTATTGATATTTTGCAGGGATTCACATTGTGTGAGCTGAGCAGCTGACAGAATGATTTGTAAACCTAATGTGGCCTTTTGTGTCTGCCATCAGGAGCCAGATTGACGTGAGGCGCATGCACACGGCGATGAGGCTCAATGAGGTCATCATGAAGAAGTCAAAGGAGGCAAAACTCGTCCTGCTCAACATGCCGGGTCCACCCAAGAACCGTGTGGGCAATGAAAACTGTATCCTTTATCATCATGCATACAACATACTGTATTACATGTATTTTTGTGAACTTTACTCAATTCATTTCAGTTCAGATCCTTGCAGCAAGGCAGCACAAAAACATAAAACCCAACACAGTCACTGTAAAAGACATTGACAATGCTGAGACTTAACGTGCAATACAGAATAGAATAAAAGGTTAAGTTAATAAAAGCAAAGAAAAAATGCAACAATAAAAACAGACATTCTGCCATTTATAGTAGATTATCACTAGAGGCTGCATTTCGCTTGTGTTTCTTTGTATTTTGGTGTCAGGTAAGCAAGTTACTTTCCTTAATGTGATTGTTTTTCAGACATGGAGTTCCTCGAGGTGCTCACTGAAGGTCTCAATCGGGTCCTCCTTGTGCGTGGCGGAGGACGGGAGGTTATCACCATCTACTCTTGAAGGACTTAAAGGTCTTTTAAGGGGCACGCTCACCTTCGCTGGATTCTGTCCCCTATCTTATTGTTTCAGGAAAATTCTCCCACACCATCATATATCTCTTCATCTCCTCATTGGAGGGATGATCTTGAGAATCAGAATACCTTTATTCGTCCCACAGAGGGGAAAAAGCTTGTTAGTGTACACTACTGAAAAAATCCTAGCTTAGTGTTGCCAACCGTTTTTGAGTGAAACAAGCTAGCATCACTTGCTTAAAAAGTGGTCTGCAACTGTTTGTACTCTCTTATTAGCTGATAACAGCAGATGAGTTTATAATTAGTTCTGACTCAGGCAAAACAAAAGACTCCAAAAGCTTTATTTGTTCTCAGAAAATGGAAGGTTTTCTTTCCCTTTTTTGACTTCAACTTTCTTTCCTGTTGCTTTCGTTCTTGGTCCTTTGTTAAAAGAGAAATGTTTTTTTTTATTTTTCTGTTATTTATGTATGTATTTATTATTGTATATTGAGTATTTATTTATGTATTTATGTCTGTCTTTGTCCTGGTCTGTTTTTGTCTTTCACTGTATGGTTGGAACTAGAAGTATTAATACACTTTCATATTTATTAATAGGAGTATTAAAATAGAAGAGGATCTAGTTGTTAATATGGAAAAAATCCCCCAAACCAACTACCTGGATGAAATATACTTACCAATGGTTTGAACTAACCTTTGAGCAACATGTATGATGTAAACAATTGTTTTGATACCCGTTTTGAAATGTAGTCTAACAGATGAAAAGAAATACCTAAATATTTTAATCTTAACTTTTTAGTTTAGATGCTATTTGAATGTCAAAAAGATTCAGACCTGGCATCTCTACGTGTGTTTAAAATATATTATTATAATGTCAAATGTTATGGTGAAGGTTGATGAATCCACTTAAATATATTTATGTCAAACACGTTTAACTGCATAAGTCAGTTTAAGATAGATAAGCAAACAGCATAAAAGTTAATCTTAGAGAGTTTATTTTTTTAATTGTATCGTTCAGAAAATAATTTATTCAGAAATTCTAGAAATAATTTAAACTATATATTGTATTTTATGCATGTGCGGAGTGCGGAGTGCACTGCCTTGCTATTTAAGTATTTAGTTAAACTACTTAAAATGCTTATTTGCTGCCATACTATTAGACACTATTGGAGCATGTGAAGTAATAAACTTTGATATTGTCAAGGCAAACGCAGGCATTAAATGCAGACGCCCAAAAATACCTTGGAATGAGGAATCTCAGAAGGGTTAAGTAAAAGTGGTTGAGGATGTTTTATGCACTAAGTTATATTATCCTGCAGAGTACCTCTCAGACGTTTAGTTTGTGTATGTGTGAGTCTGTGTACAGTGATATTTAGTTTATTTTTGTGTGCAATTTAGTCATTTCTGGACATGCATTAATATGTGTTGTTTTGTCATCGATATTCACACTTGTTAAAATCCACTGATTCTGCAAAAGTTATATACTAGGATATGAACAGTAAGGCCGATCTTGCATAAACTTGCACTGGAAAATGCAGTTTATGACATCAGGAAGGCAACAAGGCATAGGCCTATAGTTTTAATAGTTAATGATGAAAGTTGTTGTCCAAATTTGTATTTACACAGTAGTTTAATTTATTGTCCTCTTCCGTTTGGCCTATAGCGCCATAACGAATTTGACTTAAAAGATTCTGAACAACTTTCGAGAAAATAGCATTCAGTATCTTTCAAAGAAAAAGCTAGACTTCAAATGTTTTTATACATGTATTGTTTGTAACGCTGTAGAAGATTACCCACGTAATCACACACATTGATATTTCCTCTTTTGGGTTCATATCTGTGCTGTCCTCAGTGTTTCCCTTATAACTCTGAAAAGTGTGGGTGCAGAACTATAACAACGGTACTTCATAAGAAGATGGTGGAGCTCTCCAGGTGGATCAGTATCCGGTCTGCAGAAGTCCGCATTTTCCAACTTCCTCACACAGAAAGTTTGTGTGTATGTGTGTGCGCTGTGTGGACCTGATACACTGTGGTTTTGAGTGAGGACAGTGTGTGTAGCCTAACTTAACAGCAAGACAGAGTGAAGATGGGATACTTGTACATATGTGTGATTTTAGGTTTAGAGATAACGTGTAATGTGTGTAAACGCAGGTTTTATAGATATCACAAAGGCAGTTTGTATTGTCTTTTAAAATTATAAACGTTGTGTTATGTTCTACCATGTATTATGCAATCATAAACAAGTAATGGTTTGAATAAACCATTTTATATGTCTGCACAAATTGAAGTTAATTAAAATCATTTTAATACAACTGTGACAGTTCAAGTGTCAGTCATATTCCTCTCTTACTGCTTATAGATCAATTGTGTTTTATTAGCAATTATTGTTTGTAATTTTGCAAGTGTTGATTGCATGCCTCACCTTTTCAGAACTTGTGATCACACTAGAAAAACAAAGCACTTTCTATGATGTGCAAATGAAACTGTTCTTGCTCAGGCTGCATCAGTAAACTCACAGGAAACACGAATACATCAACTCTGTGACACATTTACCATCTTAGTTTAGTATTAGCATGCTTACATTGGATAATGTGTACAAAAAACAGCAGAAGAGTATTTATAGGCGTTTAGTCATTAACTTAACAGCATGAGGCTTTTACTGAGGACTTTTCCAATGCACCTTGAACTTTTCGGACCAGATGAAATCAGTTGAGAATAGATAAATTGTTCCAGTGCTACTATTTTTAAAGGAGGCTCATAAACAACATGTTCACAGGCATGAAAATGTGTTGCTGAGAGTACAGTTGTTGCACAGTCTCTTAACCCATCTCTGCAGCCTGCTCTGATATGCATTCAGAAAGATCATATCAAACTATGACCTGCAACACTGCAGACACATCGTTAACAAGACCAAACCAGTTTGATTTTGTTTTTCATGTTATATATAATGCTAAGAGGATCACCAGCAACAATAAACTATCTCATGTCAGCTTGTGTGCTCAGTCATAAGCTGGCAACAACGATGCGCCCAAGCTGCCCCTCCTTAAGAGAGATAGCAGCAATACCCAAGGCCGTAGACCTATGCCATCGGAAAGGAGACAGTGAAAAGAGGAAAGTTATTAACTGTGTCAAAGGTTGAATACCTAATCAAACTATTCCCCAACAATAGGTAGTTATGCCTTTGGCCTGTCTTAGTTAAACAGTCTGAAGAAAACTTTGACTGCCATTTCCTACAAGAGATTTCAGAATGAGGGCAGAGTCAACCAACCTTCGAATAAGGTTACCTCTATTTGTTTTTGTTGCACAGGTGAGCATTGTTGTCTTGTATGCTGCCTTTGTCACCTACGATGACCAAGCGGATGCCAGATTTCAGAATAACAGGACTAACCCCATGGAGAATGCTGTATACAAGGACTATCCTATTTTTACAGACATACAGGTTATAATATTTCTCGGCTTTGGGTGCCTATTTGCATTTTTTCGACTCTATGGCTTCGGTGGGATGGTTTTTAACCTTCTAACTGCTGCTTTTTCAATCCAGTGGGCTATTCTGGTGCAGGGTTACTTCCAGTTCAGCCATGATGGTAAGATCCACCTTGGAGTGATTAACCTCATATATGCAGAGTTTGCCTGTGCAGTGGTGCTGATATCTTTCGGGGCAGTGCTGGGGAAGACGAGCCCGCTGCAGCTGCTGATCATGGCTCTGCTTGAAGTGCCAGTGTTCGCGGTCACAGAATGGGCTGTGCTCAAGTATCTGAAGATAAATGACTCAGGAGGATCCATTCTTATTCACCTGTTTGCATGTTATTTCGGCCTGGGTGTCACTTTTGTGCTGTACAGACCTCACCTGAATGAAGGCCATGCAAAGGCGAACACCAGCTACCAGTCTGATATCCTGTCTTTGATCGGGACTTTGTTCCTCTGGGTTTTTTGGCCTTCATTCAACTCATCACTGACACTGAAAGGAGACGACCAGCATAGAGCCATCCTGCACACCTTCATCGGCCTCAGTGCCTCCACGCTCACAGCCTTCGCTCTCTCTGCCATGCTGAACAAAAATGGCAAGATCACCATATCCGACATTCAGAATGTGACCCTGGCTGGAGGGGTGACAGTGGGGGCGTCTGTGGATATGATGATAACTCCTGCAGCTGCATATGCTCTGGGTATGATGGGCTGCACTGCATGCATGCTGGGCTACAAATACTTGAGCCCCTTCCTGGCCCAGCGTTTCAGGATCCAGGATCAGTGTGGAATACATAATCTTCACGGTTTGACAGGACTTATATCCTGTGCTGCAGGGATATGTGCTATTCTGATGGCTGATGAGGAGATGTATGGACCCAGTTTGTATGAGATATTTTCCCACAGAGCACCAGTAGAGGGAGACCCTAAACTGCACGAGCTCCAGATTTTGATCCCTGGTTTACAGCCAGGGTTGGGGAGGACTGCCCGGGAACAGGCTCTCTTCCAGGTCGCAGCTGTGTTCTCCACTATAGGAGTGTCAACGCTGGGAGGCATCCTCACAGGCTTTGTCTTGAAGCTGCCGTACCTCGCACCACCATCCGATGTCTTCTGTTTTGATGATCAGCTGTTTTTTGAAGTTCCTCCAGACTATGATTCACCACTAAAACTCAACAACATAATGACAACAGATGATTCTGCTGCCTGACATGGATCTGACATGTATAGTATGGGCAGGGTCGGCTTCATGGGGGGTCATTCGCGGGCCATGCCCCCCCAAACGAGTCACTGTGCACCCCAAACGCAGGGCAGGCAAGCCCTGCCACTTTGCCGTTTTTTTGTTTTGTTATCATACAATGAAGTGAAAACGTTTCCACAAAATGTTTTTGTGTGTGAAATAAATCAGAAATAAAGAATACAAATAAAAAACACAGCCTGAGGTGTGCTCACTCACTGCTGCTCGTTGATTGGTGTGTTGCTTGACCAATGACCCCCGACCTTTGTTTTGTTGTCATAGAGTGGCAAAGTCCCTCCCCTTCCGGGCGACCTCCATGGGACCTTATTTCGGAAAAATCATGTAAAGTAGTCAATGGAGAGAGAAAGATTATCTTTTGATCCCGTTTGAATTGTGCACATTCACTTTTTATAATTAAATGTATTTTGCTTGACTTTTTTTCTCTTAAACTCTTAGTTTTTGCTTGATTCTGAGAAAGTGTTCTTTATCTTTATGACACAAAACTAATCCCATACATTTCAGGTCTATGGGAACCTTGAAAGAGTATAAATAATTTACTGTGCCTTTTTAATATATTTTTCGAAATATTACATTTTTTTTTACATACTATATGACTTATTATTTTAGAAAAACCTAGGACATGTAAGATGGAAGAGCATTGACATTTGCTTTTCCTCATCACAAGATGGCGACACATAGCAGTGAATTAAATGAATGTGACGTGATTCAAAAAGGCGCCATTACTGACCTGTTCGGGCCCTCAATTCTGTCTCACAGGAGTTACAAGAGAAGGAAAAAGTCACATCTTAAAATTGATAATATGGAGAGGTTATCTTTGTAGTTCAGTCACACACAGGATATACAAATGTTCCACATATTCCAGCCTTAAATCACCCCCCTGCTTGAATTCATTTGTGGAGGCTTAATGCAGGTAAACACTATTCAGATCTAATCAGTGTAAAAATCCTTTATTACAAGTCAAAGTTCTGCATTTAAATTGTTACTTAAATTAAAGTATAAAAGTATTAGCAGTATTAATAATGTATCAAAGCAAAAGTAGGCTTTCTACACAACGTCCCATTTCAGAATAATATATATGAACAAACATTTCCGAAATTGGGATCAAGAAAGTACTATCTTATCTTATCTTATTTTGTGCTATTGCATTATAATTAATGAGGCACCAATGTGTACCACGTATGTTGCAGCTTGTAAGAGGAGCTTATATTTTCTATATTTCCTTTCATTTATAGCTTTGGGGCTATATGTATTCATTGATTATATTCTGTATTATTATTTGGAATCTTCAACGTAAATAAATAGATAAAATAAAGGCGGTAAAGTAAAAAAAAAAAACTCTAAGATGTAGTTGAGTAGAAGTTTAAGGTAGCAGGAAATGTAATTACTCAAATAGGTCAAAGTCCTGCAATCAAAATGTTAATCAAGGTAAAGTACAAAAGTATTCGCATTAAAATACTTAGTGCCAAAAAAAGTAATCCTTATGCAAATTGGCAAATTATTATATAAATGTTATGTTTTGATTATAAATACTAATGATTGAGTAAGTTTTATCAAAGCTTGTAATTATGCAGCTAATTTTAGTTACTTCGAATGCTGAAGGCTAGCTGGGGAATGTTACTCCAAGTGTAACAAGACCTTTTTTAATGGTTGTTTATATTTCACATCATTAATCAAAATCTGCAAAGTAACTAAAGGTAGATCAAATCAATGTAGTTGTGTAAAAGTACACGATTTACCTCTCAATTGTAGTGGGGTAAAAGCAAAAAGTACCACAACATGTAAATACTTAAATAAAGTACAAGTACTTCATAATTATACTTACTACAGTCCTTAAAGGTGGGGTAGGTAATTTTGGAGATACCAGCTCGAGTGCGCTAGAATTTGAAAATACACAGCCGGAAAAAATCTGCCACTTCCTTACAGAGGCCCTCCTCCAACACACACGAACGTGCACATGACCAATGAGGGCACGAGATAAGTTTGTGCACAGATGGAAGGCAGGTAGGCCATCCAGTTAATTTAGCCGGGCCGGCTCAGATGATTGGTTGTGCTTTTTACAGCGCTACAGCTTCCACAGATGACTTTTTTTGAATGTATTTAATATCAAAGCATTTAATATATTCATTGCTATCGGGATGTTAAGAGCATTCCATGGAATATAACAAAAAGTGTTTCTGAAATAGATTACATACCCCACCTTTAAAGGGGACCTATCATGCAAAATACACTTTGTGATGTCTTTTATACATACATAATGTGTCCCCGGTGCACCGGGGAACTCACGCTGCGTCAGAAAATAAAACCCTCTCTCTTTTACTCTGTACCCAAATCTTTAAAAAAACGGGTGTACAACGAGCGGATACAGATTCCATCCGCTGTGACATAATAGAGGCGGCGGACCCACAGAAAGTTGCTATCAGAAACAATGCCTGACGTGTTTTGGACGTCTTTGTTTACATTAGCAAGCCTCGCTAACACTCAGAGCTAACCTGTCCTAGAGAGCACATGTGTTTAAAAAGCAAAAAATAAAAAATAACTCACCTTGTGATAAACCTGCAAGAGAAAAAACATTTGAGCTCCATACTATTTCAGAAATAATCCTTGACGTGGTTTAAACAGGATGGCGTTTTATCACTGCTTATCTCCGGTAGAATTCTGATCAGGCATTAGCTCCGCCTCCTCTTATTTATTTTGTTCAAGCTAAGGACCCAAAATCTGCGTTTCTCTAACAGGGCTTCAAAAAAGGGGTTTGAGCAATATGAGGCATGGTTACAATGGGTGATCTGTTTGTTATTTTGAAAAAAACACTTCACAGACATGTTTTATATAGGTATGGCCCTACACTATATATTTCAAATATAGCATGATAGGTCCACTTTAAGTAAGTGTACTTACTTATTTACAACACTGTGTGTAGTTTGCCTGTTTGAGAAAGAGAGAGATGAAGCGCTGCGCATCTCCAGAGGGTGGCGCTAAGGCAACAAATACGCATCGCCGCTGCCGCTGGACTCAAAACAGCAGAAGAAGAAGGAGACGAAGAAGAAGGAAGGCGAGCTTTTTGATACCAGGCCACGACCTGCCACGGCGAGTCGCTAACATATAAAAGGTTACATAACTTCGAAAATTGTGAATAGATCTTAGCTTTGTGTGATCTTCCTAGAGGGAGGCGTCGAGACAAGTCTCTTCTGCAGCACCTTTCCATTGATATTTTGACTTTGGCACATCATTTCATCAATTTCCAACGGTAACGTCAATGTTTGCTAATTAAGCTAGCTCGCCGCCGCGGAAATGCTGTTAGCCATATTGGCCGTTTAACTTGTTTCCCCAATGTAAACATTACTCGGCCATTTGTAAACATTTCAGGGTAATGATGTGTTGAACTTGATTCATACTGACTATGTGTATACGTTCGTTTATAATCATGTGAGCAGACTAGTCGAACGATGCGGTAAATTAATAATAACAGTCAATGATACAAGCTTAACACGACGGAGATGTAGCTCCCCAAGGTGGCTAGTGAGGGTTAGCTCCGTGTTGAGTGCAACGCGTGTTTATCATTAATGCTACCTCTAATGCTAAACCTACTTCTGAGCTCCCTTTAATCTGTGACTTAATTGATCTCATTCAAGATTACATTTGTGATATAAACGAAATGTGTAAGGAAATCTGGGCCAACTATCTCATATCGCTACAAACTAACTGACGTAGCTCTGTTTTTCTAGCAGACGTGAATCTAGCTTTCAGTAACTTGGCTTCATTCATGTTTATACCTTTGTCATTGAAATGCGAGTTTACTTGTATGACTAACCCTGAGAAGATACAGCTCTAAACACCAGGTAAGGTAGGTAGGAAAGCTGATAAGCAAATGTAACATCTATCCATTGTATTAGATTTACTTTATTGAGGCCAATTTGAGAATTGTTTTCGCCACAGCAGCATGTAAACAAGCCATTGCACACAATGCAAAAAGGAGTAGAAAACCCCCCTAACACACGCACATCTAAAAAAACAACAACAACAACTGAACAGTCAAGGGTATAAAGCTGTAGACTCATACAGTATGAAGGGCTAATTACAGCTAACACAATTTATCAGTAGGAACCAATGTAGCCTACTTTAAGTGTGTATAATATCTATTAGATAAACCGTCTTGCTTAACCTAATTCTCAACCATTTCTTTTCAAACTTGATTGTATTCAACTGCATAACAAAGATTCAAGAAGAACCCATACCCGCCTCTTGCATAAGCCATTCAAAACAAGTTTCTTGATTGTAAAGATCATTGTTTTCTCCATTCACAGGATCATCATGGCTGATGATTTTGACGTTGAGGCCATGCTGGAGGCTCCATTCAGAAAGGTGGGTTTCAGATGAAAGAGATATGAGGCCTGTTTCACTGTTATGATTTAATCTTGAGTCCTTTGATATTTGCTTACTGTGACAAAGTTTACTTTAATGTTGTGTGGTGTGATTGAGTATTTAAAACGCAATACAGAATTATAAATAAATCCGCATCTATCTCTCTTTATAGACTTCCCTAATGATATCTCACCTCTACTCCCATGAATTCATCTTTGATTCCACTGTGAACTGTGAAAAAAAGGAAGGTAGTTATTGTGCATATACTGATGTACTGTGGTTCACCTTAGGAGTAAAAGGGATTCAACCTAGAACATCCAATCCCTATTCGGTTGCAACAAGGTGAATGCCAATGGTTGATAAGCCAATCTTTACCTGTCCAGGAAAGGAGGCAGTATTCAGATTTAACAATCTGCATGCCAACACTGTTTCTCAACAGTCCTGTACAAACCGCTTAAAACACGACTTCTGAAATTACTTGGACTTTGTGGCTTTAACAAAAATGTATAATTCTGTAGCCTGAAGTAATTAAACTTCGACGAAACTGCTCTTTAGTTAGAAACCTGTATAACGTTGTGTTTTTAAGTCATTAAGGGATACTGAATTGTGATTTCAATCTATAACTGTTTTAAATCCATTAGCTGTAGTTTGACAACAGTATGCTTGAAAATGCAGATATTGCAGTTGTGGAGCTTCATGGTTCCAGCACATGTGCCATGTCATGTTTTTATGGCAAAACACAGGTGAATAATTAACTTTTCTTGCAAGTGAATATGAATACTGCCTCTTTTCCATAGTCAACTGTTATGTGAATCAGCATCTTAATTTTGCATGCTACACAAAACCAAAGATATTGATATATTTTTTAGAATGATTGTAAAATAGACTATCCTGCATCTTTGTTTTTATAGTCAGTTCTTTTTCAGTAGTTAATAATTCCTTAAGTCAAAAGATTGGAAATATTACTTATACTTTATTCAGACTAAAGATAATGGCAGTATAACACGTGGCTGAATTGATGGATTATTTCTTTTTTTTATTTCTTCATTATTTTCCTTGGGCGTCAATATTACTAAGAAGTGTGAATCCCTGTTTGCTTCAGGGCAAGATGTGTGACAGAGGTGGCATCGAGCTCTTACAGTCCAAGAACGAAAATGGGTGAAGATCACTGGACTGACACCAACCACACAGGATCTCTTTTAGTGGTCGTGGGCCATGCGTGGTCACATGATTAGGCACAAATAGTGGCTTTGGTACGACCTATAAGGAGGGGAATGGTGGAGATGATCTGAAAGCTTCCTGAACTCTGCTAATATGTTGGAGACTCCCTTAACTTTGCTTTGTTGCATTAAGTACTGAGCAGCCTTGTAAAAAGCAGAAGTGGGATGGGAAGCTATTGGGGTGGTGGAAGGACACTGTCCAGACATGACAGTAGGAAGTTTTGAAGTATTATTATTATTAATTATATACATTCTGCATTTTCTCTTGTCCCACCCCCACCCCCTTTACCTTGACGACTTGAAATGTTTCATCTACGTCCTCATGATGTTCTTCTATCAACCTTGCTTAGGATGAGATCAGGTCCTCTCATGCAAATGGACATGACGGCCAAAACAAGAAGTAAGTCTTTAAAATATGATATCCCATATTATTTGGCCACTTTGTGGTTCTGACGTATATCAAGTTGTTACGATTTAATGTGATCACTTTTTCTTGCACAAGGATAGCAGTGTTGTACCATGTTTCAGGAAAAGGAGGAGTCGTAGTAAGAGCCGAAGCCCAGGCTCTAAGAAGAAAAGGAGTAGAAGCAGAGACAAAAAGAAGAGTAAGAAGAGAAGCAAGAGCAGAGAAAGAAAACGGACCCGCAGCAGGGAGCGCCATCGGAGCGGCTCCCGAAGCAAGGAGCGCTCCGGGCGCTACCGGGCCCGCAAGAGCCCGGTGTACGTGACCTTTTATACTTGATGACATTTACCCTCTATGGTTCCATATAATGCAGCTGTCTGATGTCTATGTAGCTTACAGTGCTCTGTTTTATGGAAACATTGTCTGAAAAGTCTAAATACAACTGGGCCATTAATGCAGTCCAGTTTAAAACCATCACTAACTATGACCTCAGTAGTAAATCATTTTCTAAACTCAATATATTTAAAAGTCGTAAAGTAATTGTTCTTTATTTTTTCAGCCGGAAACGTTCCAAAAGCCGCAGCCCTTTCAAAAAAGAGAAGAGTCCCATCCGGTAAGACCTTCACATTACTGTTTATGAGCCAATGGGAGCATTTCCTGATTTTGGTATAGCACCCTGAAGAGATTTTCTTCAAGGTTTAAACGGATCTTTTACATTTCTTCTTTTTATTCAAGAAACTTTGAGGATGCAATCGGGCAGTATAACAAAATCAGGGAGTAAGATTTACCTTTTTTGATTTGTCACAATATTTACAATTTCACACATAATACATTGTTCGTTTTTAATGTTTCCAGAGCATTCTTTTTTTTAATAAATTGTCTGTTTCTTTTTTTAAAGGCAACCGATTGACAATCTCACACCAGAGGAGAGGGATGCCCGCACAGTGTTCTGTATGCAGCTGGCTGCGAGAATCAGAGCTCGAGACCTGGAAGACTTCTTCTCGGCTGTCGGAAAAGTCTGTAGATTTTCAAGTTATTTTCTCGTACAATCCAGCAAGTCTGTGTGGGGACATCATGTCTTAAACTGTCACTGTTTCTCTCTGTAGGTAAGAGATGTGAGAATGATATCTGACCGAAACTCCAGGAGATCAAAGGGCATTGCATACATCGAGTTTGTGGAGTCTTCCTCTGTACCGCTGGCTATCGGTTTGACCGGGCAGAGGCTGTTAGGAGTGCCCATCATCGTCCAGGCCTCGCAGGTGCGCACCTCGTATATCCAACATACATATTTATCTAAATGGAAACTTGTTTTAGTCATATTACAGTGGGGTTACAATTCATTATATTGTTCTTCGTTTATATACTGAATTAACGTAATTACATTACTTCATGTAATAACAGGCAGAGAAAAATCGTGCTGCAGCTGCGGCCAACAATCTACAGAAGGGCAGCTCAGGCCCGATGAGGCTGTACGTCGGCTCGCTGCACTTCAACATCACTGAGGAAATGCTGCGAGGGATCTTTGAGCCTTTTGGAAAGGTGAAAAAACCATTTCACATATAGTTATAACTTAATTTGTAGATGCATTAATAATAATCCTCCTATATTGGTGTGTTTTGTGTCTAAAGATCGAGGGAATCCAGCTAATGATGGACAGTGAGACCGGACGATCCAAAGGATATGGCTTCATATCGGTAATTAAATCATCTACTTCATTCACAGTGATTTAGTAGAGTTCAGGTAGTCTGATTCTTACCTCTTTGCTTTTAAAGTTTTCAGATGCAGAATGTGCAAAGAAGGCCCTGGAGCAGCTGAACGGCTTTGAGCTGGCCGGACGTCCGATGAAGGTGGGGCATGTTACAGAGCGCTCAGACTCGTCGACAGCCAGCTCCTTCCTGGACAACGATGAGCTGGAGAGGACCGGCATCGACCTCGGCACCACGGGGCGCCTTCAGCTGATGGCTCGACTAGCAGAAGGTCAGTCATCACATGCAACACTTTGTTTTGACCGTACATTTATATTCATGTTGTCCTATTGAACAGCAAGTGTCAGTCATGAGACAAAAATAAATATGCTCAAGTTCCAGCCACAGTAAACTGGGTACTTTTTTTAAGGGATTAAGATTTATGCAGTCAAGGCTCGTTCTAAGTAGCTCTGCATCGTAAACAAGACTCAACATGTAGGTGTGAATATTTCTGTTTGTTACAGCTGACACAGGATTTTGATCTTAGCTTACTGAGGCTTGTTTCAAATATTTTTTTTAAATAACAGTCCTTCCCTCCTCCCTCCTCAGGAACTGGTCTGAAGATCCCCCCTGCCGCTCAGCAGGCTCTACAGATGACCGGGTCCATACCCTTCGGAAACATTTCTCAACAATGTGAGGGTCTAAATGATGGAAAATATTTCTTTGTATGTTTATTCATGTATTTGAAAATATTGTGACAAATGACTTGTTTCAGCTGTTCATTCTCAAGCGCAAAGCCAAGCCTTGAACCTCCCGTCACAACCGCTGGCCACTCACTGCCTTCAGCTCTCAAACCTGTTCAACCCACAAGCGTAAGGATTATACATTTCATCTCGTATAGTTAAGTTGGCACAAAATTCCTACCGCCAGTTTTCAAATATTAAAATGTGCTTCTTTCTTTTTTCCAGAGAAAACGATCTCACCTGGGCCGCTGAGATCCAAGATGATGTTATTGAAGAGTGTAACAAACATGGAGGGATTGTTCACATTTATGTTGATAGGAACTCTGCTCAAGTAAGTTAATAATTACAGGTTTTTGAGATTTGTTCACCCATAAAGCAAATCTGACTTCCCTAGTGGACAGAAAAGTAAATAGTCTCCATAGTGACAGATTAACTTTATTTCACAGGGTAACGTGTACGTGAAGTGTCCCTCAATACCAGCAGCGATGGCAACTGTAAATGCACTTCATGGACGCTGGTTTGCAGGTGTGTGACTCTTTCAAATGTAGCTGTAAAAAACTGGTAGAAAGTTTGCTGTTTTTAACGTTTCCTTGTTCTCTCGTTTCCAGGCAAAATGATAACGGCTGCCTACGTTCCCTTACCGACCTACCACAACCTTTTCCCTGATTCAGTCACAGCGAAGCAGCTTCTAATGCCGACACGTCGATAGTCTGAGACATGCTTAAGAAATTCAGTGTAAATACATTTGTTTGCAGTCATGGAGGTGTCGTTGAAACAGACGCATTGAAATTAGATGGCTGTGTGTAATAAAGTTGCCTCAACTTCCTGTGTTCACCATTGAAGAATAGGCAGGTTTTTTTTTTGAGTTGCTTTTCACATTTTGTGGGTTTGTGTTGTAAACTACCACGAGAAGTAATTGCAGTTATCTATTGGTCTGTATGTTTTTAAAATATTCCTGTCTTATCTGCTTGTTTAAATCACCAATTTTAGATTTAAAATTGCAAAAGAGTTACAAAACTGTTGGGTTATAGGCCTTAAATGCCAAAAGTATATCAATGTCGACAATAATCCTTTGTAACTTTTTACAGCCATAATTTCATTTTTTGTATGAAGGCTCCCAATAAACTTTGGCAAATTTGACACTTCATTTTCTGTGCATGTCCTTTTTCAGATTAAGTCTTTCCAGGTTAAATAAAGCTGTTATGATTTAAACAGCATTGGACACCATGTCTCAACACCAATAAACTGGAGTTGCCTCTGAAAAAAATTGCTGGCTTCATGTAGTGTACCACACAACTTACCCTTCATTACAGTGACTAATAGCATGACTTAAATAGATCAAAGGCGTTATCAGGGATACATTTACAAAAGCAGTCAAGTATTCTTAATCTTTTCTCATGCTGAACGGTTCTCAAGAAACTCACCTTGTCCTTTCCAGTGATGCCTAAGGCCCAAACATCATACAAATATATCACAGGCTATTTGGCAATTCCCACCCTTCATCTGTGCAGTAAAGGCCCAGATACACCGGCCCGAAATCGGCAGTCGGGCCGAACATGAGCGTGGGCACGCCCTATTCGGAGTGGTGTGCGCCGCACCGTCGGGTCTTTTCTGCCGACCCGACGCCTTTTCTTGTTGAATCGGCAAGAAAAGGCGTCGGGAACACCACCGAAAGTCAGACTAAGGGATAACACTGATTGGCTGTTCAGCTAGCAAATCAGTGCATGAGAAGCGTTAACGGAGGGAGGTAAACAAATGATGGAAGATGGAACACACACGGACGGCTATTTCACCTCATCGGTTTATAGAGCTCCTGTTCGTTCATGTTTTTAATGGACGAGAGTGAAAATGGAAAGAAAACGCTATTTGTTGTTTGTTTATATCACGGAGTCTGTTCTTCTTCTTTGTCTTCCGGTTGNTGTTTTCAATGGACGAGAGTGAAAATGGAAAGAAAAACGCTATTTGTTGTTGGTTTATATCACAGTCTGTTCTTCTTCTTTGTCTTCCGGTTGTTGCCTCTTTTGAATGATGAATACACACTACCGCCGCCTGCTGGTAAGGAGAGTTATTGCCACTCACGCATGCGCAGTTCATACGTGCTCGGCTCGGATTTGCGGTGTGTTCCAGTGCGCGGAGTCGGCAAATACGCAGGAGAGTCCGGCGACGCAACAGTCGGTGTCGGCGACTTCTCAGGTGACTGGCCGGTGTATCTGGGCCTTTAGAGGAAGAAAACGTAACTAATTTGGACAAACAACTTATTGGAAGTGTAATAAAAACAGTTATGGTACACCTTTTTGTTTGCAAATGTGCATCTGGTTAACTGCCCCGCCTTAGCCTTTCCTGTGGATGAACCGCACATTTTGTGTTTAACAAATGACACAAGACAGGTTTAATGCATATACTTTGAACTTTATCTTCTAACAAAAAGGTAATGCAACAACAAAATAGTTTTAATTTTTTTAGTTTTTTCAAAGTTTTACTGTTTTTGTTTTGTTTTTTTCCCTCCTCCAGAAAGTCGTTGACATCTGGAAAAAATAAGATTATTAGTCTTTAGTGGCAACATTGGATGTCGGCAGATCAGCAAACTATTTATGAAACACATGCAGCAATGTTTCTGGACCAGCGTAACGCTACATTTAACAACAACCAAAAGTCCTAGCTCGCTGATGTGCTTTCGCCTGAAGGGTAAAACGCAGGAAACTGGTAACTGAATAAATTACTGTTGCAGATACTTGCAGTAGCTTTTGGGCGTGAGGGCCTCGGCAATGTTTATCCACGAAAAGATAATGATAATGCCAATGATAAAACATGAACTGCAAACCTAAGAATGTATGAACTAAACCGTGAACGCACCATAAGAATCCTCTCCTGCGGAAAATGTCTTTGAACTAAGGAAGAGGAAGATGTTGCTAACCTGAAAGGGCTTCTTCACTTCGTAGGAGAGCACTCCTTGGCCTGATGAGCCTGCAGGACGGCAATCGCCTCGTCCACCTGAGCAAAAGTGAGGAACAACTTAGCTCAACTGAGCTTGTGTGCATATGACATTAAAGCCTTTGAATCTATGACCTTTTTTTAGGCTTCTATGTTACATAATGTACTATGACTTTTGAATTACATAGTACTATAATAACATACTTTAAATGATTTATTTAAATATCTATAAATATTCCCTCCACAGACCACTGACTTTAAAGAAAGGCCTAAAAACCTTTCTTTAAAAAAAAGGCTTTGATTAAACTTGTGTTTTTCTTTTGTCTTTCCATTACGCCTCTTGTAGCACTTTGGGATTGCTTTTAGCAATGAAAGGTGTTTTACAAATAACATGTATTATTATTATCATCATCTTCATGACATGCTTTTTAAAGACATGCTATGTATACTATGACCTTTTTATCTTTAAAATGTTTTCTTATGTAAACTATCCTATTACATGACTTTTTATTAAATAACACTTTGATTTGTCAACCTGTCCTAATGAGCATAAGTTCTGATTGAGTGCCACCCTTTGGTCTAAAGAACTAAAGAGAAAATGACCAGATCATAAAAACAATCATAAGTCCTGTAATCTGCAGTAGTCCTAATGCCAGCTGTGTAATAGCAAGACAACAAGTGGACGTAGTGATACCTTAGCATTCAGGGACTCTGGAGCATCGAGCATGTGCAGCAGCTCAGAGTTGTCGATCTCCAGCAGCATGCCTGTGATTTTTCCAGCCAAGTTTGGGTGCTGGGTGTGGATCACTGGATACAGTCGCTCTCCTGTGAATCACAGCAGCGAGAGAGATTAGCAACCCAACGCACTCACAATCTACATCAAAGAAGAACAAAGGCAAAATGAAATCATGGCACACCGAGGAGCTGCTTCTGATCCATGGGTGGAGCTGAAGCCAGCATGGAGGCGGTGAGCGGCTCACGGCCTCCAAAGTGCACGTGCGGTGGCTCCATCATCGGCGCAGGAACAACCTGAAGACAGCGAGTTTAACACACAGCTGCAAACTGTCGCCTTTTGACAATCACTGTCAATCAGTAGCTGTGTCCCAATTCAGCGGCCGCATCCTCCTGAGGATGCATTCGGAGACCGCATACGCCACTTCCCCCGCCAAACGGAAGGCCTGTCCCATTACAACAAAAGACAAGGACACTCCGAATGCAGCCTGCAATGGCCTTCTTTCCCAGATTAGGGATACATTGATGTACAACTCGCAGGTGTCCATATCCAGCGTGAACGGGTGACCCGGTGCGAATGAAGTTTAAAAAAAAATATGGCTTGTAAGTCCCATCAGCGGCTACAACGGGTTTCAGCTGGATTTGCGGTTTTTAAATGTAAAGTATGGGGTTTCAACTCACCCAAATTCGTACGGACATGAAAGAAAAGGTAACCTATTTAATTTGTGCTATTTAAATATACGGGCATTGGAGATGTTTCTTATTTTAATACATAAATAATATGAAGTGAAAATATTTCTACACCTGTTTGGTTTCTATATGTTGGATTCAGTTATAAGCTAACTTTATTTATTTACTGCTTTTGTTATACAAATCTTCTGAACAATTTTGTTTTGATCGGGATCAGGGCCGGGATGCGGATTCATTCCGAGAGCGTGGGGGATTTTTTAACTTAATTAAACAATTATATAACACAAATAAAGTACAGCTAGATCTGACTCCTATTGAACGTTTGAAATATTTTGCTAGTTTCAGACATTATTTTGGCACGTTGTGCCTGCGCTGGTTGTTGTGACGGCGGGCGGCGCAACAATTAGGGTGAACTGCGGTAGTACAAGGACATGCTCCGTAGGAC